ATATAAATCCCAAGTGCGTGCTAAACGCCTGAAAAACACACCCTTCGAGTAAAATGTGTAAAATGTGAAAGTGCGGCGGGGAATCAGAGCTACCCCGATGCGGTTCCGTGCGCCAGCGATAAATCTTTCACTCTCCGCTTGGCGCCCGACCAAACCAGCCCTTAAACCCTACCGCACGCCCATTTAAAACTAAACGCGTCATAATAATGCGCGCTGCGTTCGGCGATGCGATGCATGTGCTCGGAATGCGCGATCGTCGCGGGATTACCAGCAGCGCAAACCGCTTATTGTCATTGCGTCGGATAAGTTATGTTATTTAGCACAGCGGGGTGCAAAACACAAAACATTTCGGTGGGATTTCACCCACCGACAAATTAAGTCTTGTGCTGATTCCATGCGCGCTGCGTCTCTCTTTGTTCGATAATTAATATCGGAGTAATTTTTTTAATGAATGACGCGCCCTGTAATAATGCTAATGAAAAATATGTGTCAATAATTGTTCAAGGATAATGAAACCGAATATGATCATTTATGATGCGCGTTATTTTTTTACTTCAAAACGTGTTTATTCGCAATTTTCGTTTATTTCGTGAATTTTTTATAAAAAATTATTTTGCTCATAAAATCAGGTCATAATGATCACTCGCAGTTTACTCATTCATACTAATGAAAGCTTTGCGCTCTCTCACCTGTTTTTTGCTTCTTTATAAGCTCTTCACGCTTTTTGCGAATCTTTTCATTACGCGCTTAAAAAGCTTCAAAAAGCACGAAATTAAGACCTCAAAGTCCCAAGCGCAAACGATGCAACATGCGTAGCATTATAATCAGAAGATTAAAGCGTCTTAAAATTAAAAACGAAATTTTTTTGCGTGGAAGAAATAAAACTTGCATAACATTTATCGACCTACGACTTTGATAAATGCATAAATCATCGTAGACGTAGAAAATCTTTACTATGAACTAGTTACGAGCGTGTAATGGTGGTGCTAGTCACGATTACGGCGTGTGCACGCCATGGAAAACCATCACGTCAGGTCTCGAGGGTAAAGACCTCGTGTCGACTCGTACAGTAATCATCGTGGAAGTGCACGCTCATTCAAGTTGGTGGAGGCGCCTGTGGGTGCGCGACGGCATTTTGTTTGCTGTTAATGTGTTGGATTACGTGCGTTTAACTAGGTCACGTGGTAAATACACACATTTATTGAATTTTAATTCATAATATTTTATTTTCTCTCTTGTATTGCATTACTGCTGGAATATTTTTGGGACACTTTGTATTTCACGCCGTGAGAAATAGGTGACTAGGTGAACGAGTCGAGGCGAAAGTAAAGAAAACACGCAACCCACACTACACGGTATTGTGTATGTGTGGTTGCCGATGTTACGCTTTCCTAGGGTCTTTGACACGATGACCTGGTGCACTATTTTTTTATATTTTATTGAATATAAATATTTATTAACATTTTGAATGCATTTTTGAGCTTTTTTAGAAAAAGTTTGCTATCGGAAATTGGACTTAAACATTGATTGATGTGAAAATTGCTGTTGTTGTTCTGTTTGACCTGACCTGGTATACCTTTGACAGCTTGACATAATATACAGGGTGTTTTTTTTCATCAAATTTTTTTTCTTTCAAATTTTATTGTTTTTATTTTGTTTTGATTTAGTTTTAATGCATTGTTGAAGTTTTGGGAATAGTTTGCGATTGTTTTGACGTAGTGGTATTATATAGATTGGATTTTGGTTTTGGGCTCGTGGTTTGCGTGCAGTAGTTCACTTTTCGACGTTGATTATACTGAAAACTATCCACTGGCAGATAAATTAATTTCTTTTTAATTAAATTTGCAATTGTAAGGTAGATATGTGTCAGGATTTTTTTCTTTCGGTGAAATAAAGGATTTTTCGACAAAAAGTGCGCAAAAAATGTTATCGTGCGCGTCCCATCTGTCGCAATCGGTTTACGTGCGGTGATATTTCTTTTCTATCCGGTTTTCTCTCACATTGATTCATTCGGAACAACGCAGGTTAATTTATCGCAGTTTTTATCCAATTTTTTCAAAAATTTCGCTAAAATTTTGCCTGAAACACAAAATAATCTTTATTGTTTACTAGCTTTAACCCGCGAATATCTAAAATAATGAATTTGCTTCCGTACGCGTCTGTAGTCACAGAAGAAGTAACAATGAAGTGGAATGGCGGGAAGTTTAAAATGGCTGAAAGTATGAGATACAGAAGTATAATTAGCACAGTCTCCACTTAATTGCTGATCAATTGAATTTATTTGATATTTGTTGGCTGTCGGTAATGCAGTGTGATACAGTGTAGCCATTTGGTACTACATAGTACTTAGGTTTGAGCTTCATTGCTGGAATGCTAGATGGCGGCGTTAAAAGTAGTCAATTAGCCAGATGCGGAAATTTATTATTGGCTAAACAATTTCTTTATTTTTGTTTTAAAAATAATTTTTTTTTATTGCAAATAAAAAGTAGCTATAACCATTCAGGGGACCACTAAGAATATGTGGCGCAAATTTTTCATGATGATCGGTTAAGTAGTTTTGGCGCTGAAAGTGTAACAAACATCAGGACTTTCGCATTTAGCAGGGAAGGGGGCAAAGTGATGGGCCCTGAAATTCAACTGGCAAAACATTGAGGGCAAAGTGGGCCCCTAAAATTTTTGATAAATAAGAGGGAAAATAACTCACATCAACAAATTCAAGTAAATGAAAAAAAAATATATAAGCAAAAATGGATACAAAAAGGTATATAGCAAAAATTTTTTTAATTGTGAGGCCCACTTGCCTACATATTCACAATTTTTTATTTTTGATAGACACGGCAATATGTGAATACTGAACAAGGATGTAAAAATAGGGTAACAGAGTGAAAAAGGTAGGCTCCAAATCCTTTTTAAACATGGAACTTACTTGCCCCTCTCCCCTATAATATTAGTAGGGATTGTTTATACAGTTACCTTTCTTCGGTGTATACAATAAATAATTTGCTTAATTAAAATTTTGAAGTTTTCATTGTTTCACGCACGTATGTCGATTGAATAACTTTTTCTGTTGAAAAATCTACACTGTATTGTTTCATAATTATAATTTACATTCGTTTGCGTTCTGTTTGCGACCGCGTCCTTCTTTGGCAGGCGCCTTGCGCATAACAAATAGTCTCCTCCGTCGGATTGTATTGAAGTGTTCGCGCGCGTTTTGTTCGCTGTTTCTGTGCGCGAAAAAAACGTGGAAAACGTCGCTCCGGCTTTCGCTCATAAACATACAGAGACTGCCCGCCTCGCGTCGACGCCATTCCGCCATTCCACACATTCAGATTTCGCCTGTTTTTACGCCGCCTGCTTTCAAACACCGACATTGCGTTCTTTTCGCTTCCAGAATGTTTGATGTTATAGTTTGTCGATGGAATAGTGAGTGCACCGAGTTATAAAAAGAGTTTTCCATCAAGTTTCTGATAGATTTTCCATTTGTGCGTTGTACAGAGCGCACGCATTCAGGATATCCGACGATTGTTTAGCGCACAAGTGTTGCAGGAATTTTTACAAGCATTTTTGGTAGTCAGTTGGTGTGTTTCAGAAGGCTTGGAACTTGGAGCTCAGGTTTTATAGTTTTCAAATTCAAATTCATTTGACATTAAAAATTGATTTTATGTGTTAAAAAATAAAATTTGATTTATTTTTGGCTATTATTGGATTGATTGAAGCAAATTGCCTTCACATCCCATACTAATAGTATAAAATGCAGAAAGTCTGATGTTTTGTTACACTTTCACGCAAAACTACTTAACCGATCATCATGAAAATTTGTACACATATTCCTGGAAGTAATTCCCCGAATTAGTTTATAGGCTGCTTTATTTAATAAAAAAATATTTTAAAACCAAAATAAAAGAAATTGTTTAGCCAATACCTCTGCACGTAGATCGAAGCCGCGGGTTAAAGCTAGTCATTTATAAACGCGTTTCATTATTACAATGCTGACGCAGCTTTTAAGTCAAAATTTTCATCTTAATTGGTAACCCACGTCTAATATTTTACTGGCTGGTGAACTTGTGCGCTTAAACAAAACGCAAAATATGATATGAGACATAAAAGTGTTACGACATGTAATGCACTAAGTTACGGCTTAGCTCGAACGCGAAAAAGACGAAAAAGGAAACAAAACTAAAAGGAAATGTGGCGTCGGATGTGTCAACCGACAAACTAAAAGTTATGCAAGCACAAAGTGCATACTGTCAACATCACACAAACTTTATTATAGAGGAAAACAGCAAAATGATATCCGGATACTTTTTTTTCTCATTGCGATAGGAAATTTTTTGAAATAATATAAAATTCTCTGTTTTCTTCGTTTCTAAGCAAAATATTGTTATAAATGAGGAAAAATTGCTACTTTTACTTCCGGTTTGTATTAAATTCACTTATAAATATCTTAAATGCGTGCCTAAGGAAATTTTTAAAGAAAATTTATTGAAAAATTAATTTTTTCGCGATTTCTAAGTGATTTTAAGCATTTTAAGGCTGAATTTTTGTGTAAATTGTATTAATTTTCGAAAATCTACCTTTACTTTTTTGCCGCGTTTTTGCGGCGATAGCCTGTGACTTCCTCCGTATTCTATCCAGTGATTACACCGAAATTAAAACACTTTCGCGATGATAATCCTTGCTGCGTATAGTTTTAATCAAAAATTTTTTGCTTGTTTCGTATCAAACTAGTTTTTAATTGCCAATTAAAGCACTTTAATACACTTTCACACTTTGTTTCGCAACTTTTTTATTAGTCAAATTCAATTTTCTATTATAATTTGATAAAACTTTTTAATTATTAACACACTATTAGTATATTATTATTGTCTAGTAATAAATATAGTATATTTAGTTTGGATTTTGCGTTTGTGATTTTGATGCGTTTTGGGTCTCGGCGGCGGCTGTGGCGGCGGCTACGGCGGGCGGTGCGCGTCGGTGGCTACGCTTTGGAGCGTCGCGACGACCAACTGATGATATTCTGGCGTGCCGAATTTCGAAAAGCGCGTCGTCAGCGCCGCCACCGCCGCCGCCACGCATTCTTACGCCACGCCGACGCCATATAATCTCCGCCGGAATCATACTCACACACAGTTAATATAATTCCATTGCATGAACTCTAGAAAAATAAGTTTTTCTTAATATTTTTATATTTTTGCCTTTTAATTCAAACTAAGATGTATAAAAGAAGAAGTTGCATAGGACTCGCCTGTAGTCATAGTTCAAGTTATAACCACCAGATGGCAGCACGAGGACTAAACCCTGAAAAATTTACAAAAATTGTTTATTTTAAGCCTAAAAACACTAAAAAAATATAAATAAATATTAAAATAGTTTCAAGTCATGTATTTTTTGTATTTTTATATATTTGTTCATTTTTCTATGTATAATAACGTAGTTTAATTTCAACTTATAGAAATAATAACATTTCGTAGGACGATTTACAAGTGTAACAATCGAAATAACAAGGTAAACAACTGAATCTCTCACTTTGGTTGATCGCACACACGCTCGCACATTCCCTGATAACCGGTTAACAAGTTTAAATATATTCATATCAATAATTATGTTTTATCCTCTGGATATTCGAAAGCTAGAGCGTAAAGTAAGGGAGTAAAGATTAAAAATTCAAAGTACATAGTCGCAAATGACGTAAAATTCAAATACAAATCAATGTTCGTTTCTAATTAGGCGTTTTATCATCGTCATCGTCATCGTGAAATTCTTGCACTTTCAAATTTTATCTTCTCATATATATCTCATATTCAATATAATAAGTATGTGCAATTTATCTTTATATAATACATATTTACTTCATAGTTGCTATTGTATGTATATGTATATATATATAATTTTCATGTTCGCGACACGTCATGTAAATATCTCGTAATAAATCATCGCGTTTCACCTTTCTAAAAGTGTTTTGTGAGTTTTTTTGATTTTCGTTGTGTTTTTCTACAAACTGAGATATTAGAGTTAAAAGCGTTATAATAATCATGATGTGAGGTGGTGAAAAGTTCGAAGGCGAGATATTGTGGTGACAGAATTGAAAGATTCGTTTTTAAGGCAATTATTTTACCGGCGCGCACTTAATTAATATAATTAGTTATAAATATTCTATTTATGTACATTAGTTAAGAGCTATTTTTATCATAATATCATAAAAGATGAGATTATTATCAAAAGAACGCAAATTCATGCTAAGTAGTTATTTATTGCTTTCGTGTTTGCTTATATGCTTTTATTTCAAAGTTGAAAATCAATCGCGAATATTGAAATATTGAAAGCTTCTTTTTTTGATTCGTTTTGGTCGTTAAAATGAATGAGTGAGGAACTTAGACAGTGCAACACACAGTCTACAATTCTTTATTGCATTGCAAGCAATTCAATCATAAGTATAGTAGTAGTTATGTTAGGTTATGTCATGTCGTGTGTATTGTGTGTTGCATATGTAATATGTATGTAATAATACGAGTATAGCACAGATTTCAAGGCATTTTAATTGTTCTTAATTGTTTTCGCGCTGCAATCACTTTTATTTCTCATTTTTCTTTATCCGTCAAGTGTTGAGTTGAGTTGTTTTGTTCTTATTCTTAGGAAGCGGCTGTTCATAAGTTGGCCATTAATTTAATGGCCGCGCTGTAGAATTTTTGTTCGTCTTTTGGTTTGAAGCACATTCAAGCTCAATAAAGCTCGTACATGATATACAAAACTAGTGTTTACAAACCGCTTCTCTCATCGGTCACACCTCAAGTGATTTAAATTCTACGATGCTTTTGAGTTTATTACTTGTAATATATACAATTTTCTTAGCGATTAGTTGCGTTGGGTTTATAGTTAAAAATTCTCTAGTCTCATTGTAGTTCCTTACTTAGTTATTAATTAATAATTGATTATTCGTAGTTTGACTACTAGAGGCCCTAGAGTGATACGACTACAAATTCAAATCGCTGTTCCGTGGTGGCCGTTTTTGTACAGAGTGTTTTGCGAAAAACAGAAAAAAACTTATATTCACACATTGGCAGGCATTAGAAATATGTTTCGCTAATTATTTTAGGTTATGTTGAATGTTAATGTCGAAGCGAAAGCTAATACTAAAGAAACTCGCTGCTGCTCGTGTTAGGCCTAATCGATGAGGACGGTGTCTGCGCTTGCGTGGGACTGCCACTGCTCGTGGTTGCTTGATGGACAGTGTCATCCTTCTCCACTGGAGATGATGTCGCTGATGAACTGTCGGGACTCTGAACTTTTCCGGGTATTTGCGGGGCGGCTCCTTTCGTTCGCATCTTGGACTTGCGCTTCTTTAAAATCATGGATCCCAGACCATTGCCGTCGGATTTGATGGTTGCTATGAGATCTGTGGGTCTTTCCGGTGGACTTGATTGTGGTTGGGAGCTTTGACCAGGTGGTGATTCCTTGGAAGACGATGATTGATCCATTTGTTGCTGTTGCTGGAGTTGTTGTTGTTGATGCGTTGTATTCTGGTTCTGTTGGTTGTCTAACTTTGCAACCAGATCCGTTAGCAGTTCTTCCATGCGTGACATCTTCTGTTTCAAGCCTTGGATTTCCAGTTTTACGTCCACTTTGAAGTCCATGAGGTTGGTCAGGAGTTCTTTGTACTCCGCGGGTGATGAGAGTCTGCTTGTTGATAGAGTTGGATTGAACTTGGGTCCCGTAACCCGCAATCGTAACTTTGCATTTTTCTCAATTGTAATGATTTCTTTGGGGTTTCAAATTCGACGATTTCCTCAATTGTATCCTGCCTGGTTACGGTTGTTGGGGAACCCTGAGCGGACACCTTTTGTAGTTTAGGGAATATTTTATTCCCGCTCCCACCTTGAAGTCCTGATGATGACGAGCTTGATGAACTTGGACGTTCCTTTGCAGTCTCCTTTGCGCTGAGACTACGTTGAAACGCTGTTTGTGGTTGTTGTGCTTCACTGGAGGTCTGGATGACCCTAATAACCTTCCCCATTTACTAGCTCTCGGAGGTCCTGCAGCTGGTCTTGTGACTTTGGTAGTAACAGCATTGTTATCATCCTTCTCAGCCACCGAAGACAACTTGGTCGTGGATACTACCCTGACCAATGCTTTGGTCTCATCATTCTGGTCACCCTTCTCAACATCCAACTTGACGTTGCTGGGGTGGGTGTGTAAATTCCTCACACTAAGTGATCTTGGTTCTGATCCAATTGTGGTTCTGATTTTTTCCTTCGTTCTGCGAGTTCCTTTCCTCACTTACATCCCGCAACTTTCTGAATATAGGTCTATGGCGTGGTTATAGGTTGGTTCTGGGGTTCCGTACGAAACTATTGGGAAGTAAAGAGTCAACACCTCGAGGAGTTTATCTCGTTTGATCGTGTGCAGGTCACAGTAGGTCAACGCACGAACATTCGCCGCCGATTGTCCCACAGCGTTATCCTTCCAGAAGGAATCACCGAAAACATCACCCTTACCTAAAATAGCTACCACCTCATCATCCTGAATCACCTCTAGTGACCCTGTTACTATGAAACACAAGGAGTCTATAGATTCCCCTGTATGGTAGAGCAAATCACCAGGTGCTGAATGTGACATTGTAAAGTGCATGGCAAGCGCCCGCAGACAACCATCCGGGGCTAACCGAAAAGCGGGATGTTCATTGAAGACTTTGCGATTCAAATGCACGCAGATGTCAGCTTTCATGTCCTTGGGGCAGAAATTAAGCACCTGGAAAGTGAAAGTTTAGGATTATTTAAATTATTCCTAGGGGAGGGTTTAAAATGACGTGCCTTATCTTGGTCGAGACCTTTTGTCATCGCCCACGTCGAGACGACGTAATCCATGACACGTTCCGAGAGGGCCTTGGGCACCTCGTGCAGTTTCATAAATTCCCGCACATTGTTCAGCATGTCGTGATATTTCGCTGTCGCGCTGGTCATTTGTTGGATTATCGTTGTCACGTGACCAAAAATCGTAGCGTAGAGTAAGGCTGGAATGAAAATTACAATCAAAACCACTTATTATGGAATACAATTGAGGTTTTGCCTGCGTAGGTAAAATACTTCTTAGCGATAGTAAAGATCCTCTCGTTGTCTGTTTCGGCAGCGACATTACCGAAACCCACACTGGTCATGCACGTCATGGTAAAGTAGAGCGCTGTAACGTACATGGTCTTCCTGGACGGGCCGTTGATCAATTCCGGCGTGCCCGAATCGTTGGGCCACACGTACGAGTATGGATTCTGTGTGATATTCGCCAACTTCCATAACCAACTATATTGAACCCCATTATCTGCGTCTGATCTCCCGATGGAGTACCAGATACACGCCAACCAATGCGCTACAAGCATATAGAAACATAGCAGGAGGATCAACATAGCAGCTCCGTATTCTAGATATCTGTCCGGTTTTCTGACAACTCTTCCTAGTCGTAACAATCGGACCACTTTAAGTGCACTGAAGAGACTTCCAATACCCTTGAAATTTAAAATTTTAATATTTTAAGTGATTAGGGGTGGGGGTACTTGTCCCTCATCGTGATCAAAAGGTTGGGGTTGGGTTGGTTGGTTGGTGGAGCTAGGATTCGGACTCATTCGTATCACTTTCGGGTCGGAGACCACCTCGCCGCCGGGACCCACGAAGGTCGTGTGAAAGTTGAGCACGATGTCGATGAAGAAGATGACGTCGACGATCGAGTCGACCACGAGCAGGGAGACGTCCTCGGAGGTCTTGTTTTTGAAGGCGACATTGTACGGCACCATGATGGCGGTGTAGAAAGTGAGACATAGAATGATCCAGTCCCAGATGGCTTTGAATGCGCAATAGTGCAGCAGGATATGCGGCGGTGTCTTTGGCGCCTCCTGTCTGTACTGAGGCATTATATCCGCGCTCAAACTCATCATCTACGAACATATTTGCATATTTAATCAATTAAAGAGAATACTTGGTCATTGATCAAAGATAAGTAGTTGGGGTTGTATTTATAGGTCATTTTAAACAAAAATTACTTTTTTTTGGTTTTGTAAATTCCTTTAAAGCTTTTAAGCTGGGCGGGAAGAAAATGACGAAATGCAGGATGAAGGATAAGATTTCTCCTTGAGTGGCGATGGGGGACGGGCAGAGGAGCAGGGCAAAAAACGGAAGCCAGGAAGCCCATTAAGTGAAGCGAGTTTAAACGAGTCGGAGATTAAGCGTCCGTTGTGTGCGCACATCCGCTCGCTAAGGGTCGGGGTCTTACCCAGCAGGGGTGGGCGATTTTTATGCGCGAGTGCAAATTTAATTATGCGGTGAAACACCAGACTAGACCAACGACCTGGATCGGTTACTAATCATGTTGATTGACTTGAGTACCTAGGGAGCTGTGCGCTTTTTGAGGTTAGGTTAGGTTACCTGCGCCAGATGAGATTGTTTCGTTGTATCTTTCAAATTCGGCAGATGCGAGACGAGCACCGATCGACTTCTCGTCACCGATCGTGCCAGTTTTGCAAATTTTGAAAGGCCTGGAAAAAAATCATAAAAATTTTTTTCTGTTTTTAAATTTTTTGAAAATTTTAATACCTCCTTTGGTATCGTCGGTCTCGATGGGCTGCTTGAGCGCAGTGATGTCCCGAAATGTGAGCAGGAAGAGGACGACCAGGTCGCGCTCGTTCTTGATCGGCGAAATTTGCAGCAGCAGCCATAGCGGTGTTTCTAGAATCGTCACAAGCACGCATTGCAACAAAACCACTCGGCGCGCACCACGCGAATGTAATGAGTGTGTGCGAGAGAGGAGAAATACAACGGGCATGAAGATGGGCGACTTAGAATTAAATATATAAATATATTCATATTCAGAACGCATCCAAGATATACATGATATAAAAAAGAGGTCAATAGCTATTTCAAAAATTCAAAATCAACATGTCTACGATAGTTCTCAGATACTTTACTGCATATACTGTTTATTTATGAACCAAATCTAACGTAAAGGTAAATAAATAAACGAGAAAAATGAAGGTAAATATTAATGGTATTAAATTATCATGCTTTTTATCGCGAAAACGAAGGTTTTTTGCGATTTTTTGCGGGGAAAAGCAAAGCTTTCTACGTTCTACATCTAGAACATGATACATACGGGGGCATTAACATTGACATGCGATTCAAATTTAACGTATTTACAACTAGGTACATTTTATATTAAATTCTGACACTTTACTATGATTTTTTGTTGCAAAAAACGAGTTTTTTCGGTGAAATTTTTACGAAAAAAAATCAAATTTTTCGTTTTTTACCTTTTTTTATCTTTTGATGTTAAATACTCGTTGATTACAGAATAACGATAAACTTGTGCACAAATTCTACCAAAAATTCTACAACTAGATACCAAAAGCGATTTTTCATTTTTTTGTACCACGAAAGCTCCGGAGAAGCGATCCAATGCGCTCAAATGTTCAATATTCAGTCCGTAAACAGAGCGGGTAAAGAAAAATAGAAGAAAATAGAGAGTTGGAAGAATGTTCAACTGACCAATCAACAATTTGAACAGTTTGTCGCTTTCGTTGCGTTTACTTGCTTTCAAATTCAAAAGATGGAAACAAACCAAAAGAACAAATTAATATACTCGTTCAGATTAGCATAGTTTGTACATACATAGAGAATACAGAGATTTACAGAGGATAGATTGGCAAGAAAATCATCAAATTCAGAAGGTAACAAGAGAAGTATATTCATAGAATTTACAAGAAGGTAAGAAGCAGAGAAAGACGGAGGGTGGTTTTGTTTGAAAATTGAAAACTGTGAGAGAAAAGTCGGGCATTATTTTCAGCGTTTAAATACTGATTACTGTTGTCTGAGTTTTTATTTTTTTTTATTTTTTGGAATTTAAGTTTAATAGGAAAGTTAAGACGAAAAAACCACTACATACCTTCGGGTGTGCCTGTTTGAACAAACAAAAAGAAAGCGAATTTCAGTTTTCATTTCACTTTCGGAGTTTTTTTTTCCAAAATAATCAGCGCTTATTTTTCTTTCTCTTTCAAAACAAAAAGAAACAAACATGTACAAACGAATTGTTGTAGTTTTTAGAAGTGCGCATTCAAACATCGATCGGTATCGCAAAAAATACAATAAGTAATTATTGTGATTTTTGTTGATTGTCAACAACTGTAAGAAAGAACAACAGGTCAAAATAAAATACCATCATCAACCTACATAACAAATAGCAACATCGAAGATTGTCGATGTCGTGTATTGTGTGGGTCAGTAGTAAATCGGCGACTTTTTCTTTTCTTGGTGATTTTTTGTTGTGAATAATTAGCTTACCACACATACACCTTACCAATGCATGTATTTGTCACATACATGCACATGGTATATTGTTAGTTTTATAGCTGTGTGGGTGTGTGTCATATCAAAACACGCATTCTAACACACATAAAAAGTAGCAGGACACCAAACGGTCACACACATATCGCATTTCGAAGACGGCGATGCATGCACACATTGCACACAAATTTTCTTCGGATTTTTGTTTTATTTCGTGTGTTGCGCAGTTAATCGCTAATCGAAACAGCACCACTAACATTTAACCATCTCTCAAGATCATTGCTATAATATTGGCACATTTTTTGAAGAGTTTTTCAATTTAACAAACGCAATTTTTTATTTTTTTATTTTTTAGTTTATTTTAACTGCGTTGGTTAAATTCATCAACATCTAATCTAAGGCCTATGTTTCTCTAAGAGAACGTTCGCTAAATGATGACCAGACTAGCTAGGAATTTGAAGTATTATTCGTGTAGACGGGGTGCAAGCTACGTACCTTTGTTTTCTGTATATATTGAATTGGTTTGTTTGTATATTTGATTTGGTCATTTTTATGTCATCATCATGCGATTTATTTGTTTGTGTTTTGTGATTTGCGTTTATTTTTTGTTTATTTGTGTGTGTGTGTGTTTTGAGTGTGTGTTTGGCGACGTTACGACAAGCGAGAGCCACACACGCACACGGAGAGTCAGATCAGGGGGTTGGCACACACGCAGTTGGCATTTTGTGTTTGTTGGTTGGTTGGTTTTTGGAGAAGTGGTTGCAATGCACAAAAGTACAACACACATCATAGTAATACACATTTAGATAAAATCACATTATAGTATCTTAAGATTAGTCAGGTTTTTGTTTTTATTTAGACACAAACAACACTCAAAAATTGGAAATTTTGGCTTTGGGTTTTAAGATATTTAAGATATTTTTAGTCGAAAGATAGGGAAATATATTCTTAAGAATATAATATATTTTTCGATACTGTGCGTTTTATAGTTTTGAAGATATTTATGTTTTTGTGTGGAAAACTATTAAGTGGTTGGGGGATGAGCTAAAAATACTTTATTTACGGAGTTTTTAGTCAACAAGTTTCGAAGGCCATTACTTTTTCTATGGAAAAATAATAAATTTTAGATTTTCGATGTTTTCAGATCAGTAATTTACTTTTCGCTGTTTTGGAACACAAAAAGGGGTATTTTAAACACGGACGACCAAGACCGTGACTAAAGTATTGTTGCCACCGGTTTTACTCCACTAGTTTCTAAGATATTTAGGTTTTTCTATGGAAAAGCTAATGGTGCTAATTTTGATGTTTTTAGTTCAATAATTTTATTTTTTACGGTTTTGAACTCAAAAATTGGTATTTTAAACACGGCCGGTCAAGACCGTGACTAAAGCACTTTAGTCACAGATTTTAGTCAACAAGTTTCATAAATATTTAAGTTTTTCTTTTGAAAGACTGTTGAATTTCGTTATTTTTTTTATGTTTTGCAAGTTAAATATTTTTATTTTCTTCATTTTTAACCCAAAAAAGATTAATTATCTTTAATTATTAAAATTTTACAAATTTTAAAACCAAAATTAATAATTTTTGAATGATGTCCGTGTTGATTCATCCCGCGCTTTTATTAAACATTCGAATGTTGCATAATTGATGCTGTTTGGTTTTGTGCGTTTAATCAACGGTTAATTAGCCGGATTCGGTTGTCGATGTGTCCGCAAACATTCAATTATGCAACGCGAGTGTCGAGACGTCCAAATTAAATGTCTAACTCAAATGATTATTATCGAATAACATGCACGGTCCGCATTTGCATAATGCATGAATAATTCATTGCGTTTTGCGACTGAGTAATTAAGTACCTACGAAGGAGTGTTAATTTTGATTTTGTGTACGGCATCAAATTTAACATGTAGGTATAAACGTTGAGTGATAGTGAGAAGAGTAAAATTGAGAACAAAATGTGGAAATCTCAAAAATAAAATATTCATATTGAAAATTGAAAAAAATCAAATTTTACTTGATTCTATTTTATGTTGTACGTAAAAAATCCAATATGGACTGAACGAAAACAACTTTTGTTATTTTTTCGTATAAACTCCAAAGACGAAAACAAACAAACAAAGTGTGGTGGTGGAGGCGCCTCGAACTTAAATTTCTTCGGCGTGGTAGAGATGACAATAAAAAAACACCCACACACACATGTAGAAAGTCAAAAACGTGACTGTGGATATTTAGAAAATGCAATTTTGAAAAACTTCTCGTTGCGCGCGGCGATTTTTTCCGCATCGTGCGTAATGAAAGAAAAATACTCACTGTTTTTCTTGTAGAGCAGTATCTCGAACTGGTCGTGCAGCTGATGCTCGAGCACGTGATCGACGCGATTGATCGTCTCCTTGTCAATTTGACTCGCCAGACATGAACGCTGCAGCAACGGGACTTCTGCATCACCTCCGGCGCGGTTGGCAGCCGGAGATGCTTGCCAGACGCCTGTTTACGTGCACGATCGGAAATTCGGCGATCGCGCGTTCGCCAGCAGGAAACTGCTATCCGCTAAAACCAACCATTTAAAACAGTGTGTAAATTTACATGCTAATACAATAACACCCAGCGGGAGACATCTCCAAATCTCGGCCCTTATTTATTCAGATTTGGGTTTCAAATTAGGGTTTACACACAACACACAAGCCTAAAATAACAAAGCGTTATTTATTAGGTTACAGGTAACACAAAAAATTAAAGCATTTCAAAGAATTTTATTGTTGAATATTGTCGAATGTATGTCAGTATTTTTATTGCGCGGGGGTGGAACTCGCAGCGTCGGTAACCAAAGCCTAAATAAATTATCCTTCCGCTGGGAGAGCAGAGCGGTAGCGAGCGCAACGCATGCATAAACCACGCGCAGTTACAGCCCGATGAGCAAATCCGCACAAATGGCAAGACGCGAACAAGTACAAAGTATCAGAAATAACCGCGCGCCAACAATAACAACACAAAACACAAGACAAAAAACGCAGGCGAAAAAAAATGGTGGAGCGCCGCGCGTGCGGAATGTCGGAATGTGTTACATTTTCATTAGGAACGCACCTCTTTGATTTATACTTTACACAGAAGGGTGTGTTATAATTCACACACGTATTAACTGAATAAACCGAAGGGTTTTTTTTTGCTGTGAGTAAATCAATAAAAGTTGCTTTTTCGGTTTCGGTTGAATGTTTGCATTGAACTTGTTTTGTTCCATTTGCTTCCTCTTCGGTTCTCGACGCACTGTTTACATAGTTTCATCATAAACCCCTTTCTGTCAAGAATCTTCCTTCAAGAGATCTCGTTGTTTGCTTTTCATTTACGTTTAAACCTTTTTTTTTATTTTTTAACCTGTCTAAGGATAATTTATCAGGTTGAAGGAAAAAATTGTTTTAAAGAAATTGAAAACAAATTTGCCAAGTACGCGGGTATTTTATATCGAGTGCTAAATTAGATTTATGTCATTTTTTTCCTTCTGGCGAATGAAGAACGCAGAAGGGTTTCGAAGACGACGAAGAAAGTGAGCTGAGTTGTCACGCTGCCAAGTGTCGATGTCTGCTCCGCAGATTGCTGCTTATTTATTGCGATGCCAATTAGAATTTCACAAACAAATTTTCATCACATTTGAAAAATTAGACAAATATGCGTCTAATTGATTTCTGAGACGTTGACCTTTGTAAGATGATCCGGAAGAGATAAAAATATACATTTTCCGCTTTTTGTTTGTTTTTGCGACGATAAAAAATGTAAATAAAACGCCGACGGATACTTGACAAGCGAAATAAAGTTGCTTCCGTTGTTTCCACGAATTCAAAAAATTTTCGCGTGTTTGCCGGATTCACACCACACATACGCGATTGTAAGAAAAGAGTATAAAGTTTTCCGCATCTAATTTGTGACCTAGAAAAGCGAATCGATAGTTACTATAGATATATATGCATGCGAGTGGTGGTGTGGGCGGGGAGGCGTGTGTCGGCAGTCTTGGTAATACAGTCTCGCTGCCGATCGCCGCCGCCGACGGCCGACGAGCACCATTAGTGGCGGCAGCCCGGGCTCACAGGCAAACATTCGCTTCGTACGTTTAACTTGATTCCACGACTAACTGCTGACTACCGACTATCCACTCACAGTGTACTTTTAAATATTTAATTCTCTTTTACGCGGAGCGGAAATTTTGCAACACTTTGTATAAATTCCTAATGAGTGGCGGTTGATTTTACGATTACGCTGTAACTGCTCCCGCTACTGGTAAACAATGATTTTCAGCGCGTCGGGCGATAAAGGGATAAATTACAGTCGCGAGCGATGCAAATAGCAATTTGCTGATTCCTTGAAATGCCACGCTCAACCGCCCCCGAGACACAAACACGTGACATCTACGCCTACAGACGAGCAAATTTAATGGCGCTGATAGAGTTTAACTGCAAACTGTAGCGAAGTTTAAGTGTAATTGAAATTTTCAAGGACACACGATGAAAACATATGTGTTTGTACTTTGGAAATAACAACAATCATCGTTTTTATGGACTGCGTCGGGGGTGTACGAGTAAATTACCGACGTAACAAATTCACACTTTAGTCGATGAATGTGCGTTAATAATGAGCGGGTGCGACGCCGTTGTAAATAATAATTACTCGCCGAGATACGATGAGGCGACGATGCGACTACGAGATGCGATATTAATGAGTTTTTGTTTGGATATTGATTTTCCCGACGCGTGGAAACTCAAAACACCAAAGCACAACTTATTATCCCTACAAATATTATAAATGCGAAAGTCCTGATGTTTGTTACACTTTCACGCAAAACTACTTAACTGATCATCATGAAAAATTTGCAATATATTCTTAGTGGTCCCTGAATGGTTATAGGCTTTTACTTAATAAAAAATTATTTTTTAAATAAAATAAAGAAAATGTTTAGCCAATAATACCTCTGCATCTGGCTATTTGACTACTTCAACTCCATCTAGCATTCCATTATTTGATGGATTCAATGGGTTAAAGCTAGTTCAAAATAAACGCACGAAAACTTGCGTTCCAAGCGGAAATAACGCGAATAAATCGACAGGTGATAATGTAAGATTTAATGAACAAAAAAAATAAAAAGAAAAAAGTTAGAAACACGCATGTGGCATAATAAATTGCAGAATAGGTGCGTAACTAGGTAGTTACATAGCACACGGGAAAAAATACGAATATGTTCAAGGAATATGGAAAACCAACGTAGATGTAATGACTGGGCAGAATAAGAAAATACAGCGCTGAGGAAAATGACAAAAAACGCAACGTAGAAGTTAGATATTCTTTATTATAATGGTAAAATTACGTGACTCGCCCGGGTGGAGCATGAAAGACGCACGGAAAACGTGAGGAAGAAGTGGAAAAGTGTACGCGCGCCGCGGGTTCGTGTGTTGCGTTTTACTTTCAGGCTTTCAGCAAGAAAGGGGAGAACAAGTTGTAGCCGAGTTCCGCGTTGTAACTTGCACGGGTCACGACCAACTAGCAACAAATGTCACGCACGGACAGGCATGTCATGAGAGCATCCGAAATGCGACATTACAACATCCGCATTTAATTTGCATTCAATTTCAAATTGTATTACGCAGAATATTACTTGTTTTTTGCGAGGCATTTGGTAGGTTTTATTAGTTAACAAGTAACTTTCGACCTTTGTCAGCGGTGAGTCGACTTGGGGATTGTATCGACAGCCTTTCAGACCTTTTTACACCATCCGGGGCAGTTTTTTATTAGTTTTGTTGTTGGTTTTAACAGTGTGTTTGCTTGTTGTTTTATTCTTTGACATCGCATCAATCCTTTGGGTATTGAGTGAGCAGTTGGAATTTGTAATTTTTGTTCAATACCGGTATTTTTTTATTTTGGGGTTTTAAGGGTGGTATTGCATCGTTGGGATATTTTTTTAATAAAAATATCGGTATCCAGTTATTTATAAAAATTAATTTTTTAGAGAATTTTTTGTGAAAAATGTTAAGTTTTGGAAATAAAAATACCGGTATACCGGTTTTAATACCGGTATTTTTTGTTTTTAGTATTTAATACATCAAGTATTGAAAGAGTATAAAAATATCGGTATTTGGAAATGAAAATACCGGTATACCGGTGTGAAATACCGGTATTAATACCGGTATTTTTCACTTCGCATTAAATTTTTTCAGTTTTTTTTTTCAATTTTTAGTTTTTTAAATATTTAAAAATTGTTATAATTATTAAAATTATACAAAATAATTAAAAATACCGGTATTTCACACCTGCATTGATTTTTTCCCTGTTTTTTTTTCCCGATTTTTTCAATTTCCAATCATTTCGATATTTACCAAACAAAAATTATTTTTATCTCAAGTAGTAAATCAATCACGGTGTCATAATTTATTCACGTTTTCATTTAGGCTCCACATTTTCGGCAAGGTACGCTTTATGTCTTGCTTCTGTTTGCTCTTCAAACACTTGCTTGTTGAGTGTTGTTTGGCTTTTCATTCCGCTTATTCTTCGCAAAGTGTTATCGCTGTGCTCATAACGAACATGTTTACACTTGGAATTTTTCTGCCGTTTACAACTTTCGTGTAAATTTGTTTTTTACGCCGCTGAACTTTCGACTTTAATTCGCTTTTAACCTCGCGCGCGACCATAACCAGCAAATTTTTGTAGTTTTTCCTAGAGCTTAATAAACGTTTTTATTGTTTTAGACGGCAACTTTTTTAATTAGGCAACATTTGATTTAATACTTGGTTCTTCTGTTGCGTAATTTATGATTATCGCTGGAAAAGTGTGTTGCTATTTGTGCACTTGTCTACCATTATCGTTTTTTCACCCCCGGGTGGTCCTTGAGGGTGACCTAATGATTGTTTCGTTGCGCCGTGTGTTCCACTTCAAGGAAGCGTCGTATGAATGACAACTTGCGTTCCTTAATACGAAATCGATAAATCGATACAATCCATCATGTATTATCCACAGTGGGTGTACGTACAAAATGTGCCTACGATTGTTGTTGATACCTGCATTAAATATGCAGTAATAAACGTGTTCGTATGATGGAATGGAAAAAAGTGAGTAAATGCTTCGCCAGGTGAATTAATATACGAGTATTATCGAGATTTTTTGGTATTTTGCTGTAGTTTTGTATTTGATGAATGCTTTTTCATGTTATTTTTTGTTGTTATTCCACGTGTTAGTTTGCTCCAGTTAATTCCAACTTGGCGTCCATTTATTTGTGGTTTTAAACCTGTTTGTTTCGCTCCGCAGTCATTTTTCAACTGGATTGCATTCATTGTGCTTTTATTTCACGCGCAAAAAAAGCCAAAGATGGCGTCGTGCAAGATGGCTGCGTGCAAATGGGATAACAACAAGTAAAATACGTGAATTTGTAGCTTTGTCTGCATGGAATTGAATTGTTTCTCAGCGTGTTTCCCTTTGCGTTTCAAACGACAATGACAAAATGTCGCCGACTGGCCACGGAACGTGAAATGCGGCAAAACTCAAAACGTGCGAAGTGCGGAACTCGGCAACCCAAA